CTACTCAAACACACCCAATTCGAATTATTTGTGCAAAAAATACAACAATAAAGCAACAAATAATAATCTCAGGAACATTGTGCATACTTTAAACAATAATTCGCTAACAATTAACCAAAATTCAACCATTTAAACAAAAAATTCATATACTACCAAAACTAAGCAAAAGTCAGAAAATCAAAGACTCAGATGAAAACTTACCTTAAGCGATCAACAATGAAGTGTAGAATTTGCTAGAATTTTGTTCAATTCGCCCGTCGATTATGGAACCTCACAGCAGCAGAAAGAAGGGAGAGAGTGAGAAGGAAGAAGAAGATGAACGATCTTCTGACTTAGGAGTTTTTAATATAGGTAGTTGAGGTTTGAAAGGAGCGATTTAATGTATTTGGAGTAGGGGGGGCAAATTAGTCATTTCATTTTAAGTGGATTAACCTAAAATTAACCTTTAATTAACGTTAGGGTTACTTTAGATGTGTGTATTAAACCTTGGGTGTACCGCTGATAAACAAAAACTAAGTTGGTGTACCATTGATAAAAGCCCGAACCTTAGGTGTACCATTGATAACTTCCCTAAAAATAATTAACAAGAGGTCAACGACCCACTATTAAAATTTATGCCTTGGGTTGTTTGGGTAAGCTATGTGACATAAATTATGCATTTCAATATCGAGCTTATAACGACTCAACCCAATAACGAGACACGAGCCGAGCTCCACTTTTTGGAGCACCTCGAGCTTGAGCCGAGCTCAATTTTCAAGGCTCGGTTCATTAACAGCACATGTTGGACTAACATTATTATTATTATTATTATTATTATTAATTAATAATAATAATAATAATAATAATAGTTTTTCTTTTTTTTTTACCCAGATTAATATTACGGAGCATTTATTAATGATAATATACAAGTTCTATTTTATGCCCAAAATTAAGTCAGACATAAGATAAACAGTAAAGTATTACAGATTAATTATATAAATTTTAAGTTTCAAGAAACACTACCAAATTAATCTTTGAAAAGAAAAAATTAATTTTAAGGGCCTCTTAATTATAATTAGAATAGGGCCTTCAAATTATTTGAGACGGTCCTAATGTTCAGTATTACTCGCATTATATTGCCTCTTAGTAGTACTCTTAAAATGTCATTATTTACAAAATTGACATTGTTATGTATTTGCATGTGCCTAACTGCGGGGCCGTATAAAGCGCTCCATTATCCACATACACAACTACGCTCTTTACTTTAATTCGTTTCGCTATAAGTTCGCCCACCCATTATATAAAATTTCAAAAACTAATATGTCAATTAACTAAAATTATAAGTATGAAAATTTGAAAAATTATGTAGAATGTCCAAAAACTTGTATCTTAATTTCAAAAACTAATATGGTTAAAACGCTTGTATAAAATATCTAATAGCTTATACTTGTCTCACACAACACCTTCTCACTTTTTTTTTTTTTTTTGAAAGAACACCTTCTCACTTTCAATACAATAAAAAAGTTAAAAATACTAATAATACTTAGGAAATTTTGATAATTACCGCCATCTATTGTTGTCAAAATTGAAAATACCACCTCAAGTTTTTTTTTTTTTTTTTTTTTTTTTTTGAATTTTACCACCTAGTTTTTTACAAAAGTTTTTAAAATCCCACCACTTTGTGAGATGACGTCATTGCGGGACCTACAAATTCGTTTTCCCTCTCTCTTCCCTCGATTTCCCTTGTTCCTCAAGTCCCCCTCTTTCAATTTCATCTCTCTCCTCTTCAATACCCATTAATGTACTCTTACCCACCCAAATTTATTATTAAACCCTAACATTCAACACTCATTTGTCACTCTCTCTCCTTTTCTTTGGGCTGTAATGTTGTATTTTTTTTTTTTTGCATATGAACATGATCATCGAAATGATTAATCACCACTACAATGTTAGTGTTTTCACCCGAATTACATGTTTAATTGTGTTTTCGTAATTACTTGTTTAATTGTCCTATTATATATTCATTCAATTTTATCTTCATAAACTCTAATTTGTCCAATTTAGAAAAACCCCCAAATAAATTACCCAAACCCTAATTAATCTAATCAATTCACTTTGTTTTAGGTTAGATTGTATAAATTATAACCTAATTTGCGCAAATTTTTGTAAATGACATCAAATTTCAGAGATGAAATTGAAAGAGGGGATAAGAAGAACAGGGGAAATCGAGGGAAGAGAGAGGGAAAACGAATTTGTAGGTCCCACAATGACGACATCTCATAAAGTGGTGGAATTTTAAAAAATTTTGAAAAAAACTAGGTGGTAAAATTTAAAAAAAAAAAAAAAAAACTAGTACAATACATTGACAAGCGTAAAACTTACAACGTCATAAATTATAAAAAAAAATTTATAAATTGGGAATGAATTTGAATAGTGCATACTAGGGGTGAGCATAGCAGGGTGCCCTGTAAAAATATCAGGACCCGGAACCGGAACCTATTGCAACAGGTTCCTAAAAATAGGAACCGGAACCGGAACTTGTTGCAACAGGTTCCTAAGAATTGAGAACCGGAACCGGAACCTGCATGTTCCGGTTCCTAAACAGGGTACCCTGTCTGTCAAAGTAAGTTTAATAGTTACTTGATAAATTGTGACAAATTTTTTTTTTTTTTTAAATAGATGATCACAATAAAAGCTTACAACTTTAGTATAGTACTTCAAATATAACAAACCAACACTAATTGTCTATAATTTTTAATACCATATAGGTTTCGATTTCATGTACCCTATAGGGAACTTGTACTAACAGGGTACCCTACAGGTTTTAGATCCAAAATTTTATTACCCGGAACTGGAACCTGTTGCAACAGGTTCCTAATTTTATTACTCGGAACTGAAACCTGATCAACAGGTTCCGGGTTTAAAACCTGCGGTTCCGAACAGGTTCCGATTCCATATCAGGGTACCCTGAATTTTTGCTCACCCCTAGTGCATATATTGTCTCATCTCCTTTCATTAGCACATCACTATTCATAATTTTATACAATCATAAACTAGTATAATCCTATGAAGTCTAGCGAATTCTTGACGTAACAAAGTAGGCACTATATGTCTATTAGTCTATAATCTATATATGAGCATGAAGAGAGGTATCAATCATAAAAACAAAAATAAAAGTATGGTTTTAAAGTGTAAAATAAATGTTGAGGAACATGGGAAGGTACTCAATACGTCATTGTTGCTTAATATCGTATCCAAGGAATAGAATTTTCACCTTCTAACTTTATTTATTTATTTTATTTGCCTTTTTATTTTATTTATCTATTTATTTATTTAAAAAATTAATGGATAGGACCGATTCTATACCCACGTGGCCACTTGCTTACATGTAACATTAGTCGCTTTTCAACTTTGATCACATCATAAGCCTCTCTGGCATCTATGATTGGATTTTAATTTAACATTAATCTTCGTATTAAAATCTTGATTGATTTACCATACTAATATTATTAGAAATTAAAATAAAGTTACTTGTTTCTTAATTTTTGGCAGTTTATAGGGTGAAATATGAGCTGGGGTTTTTGGGGTTTTTTAGAAATGATTGGGATTGAACAACCGACACCTCCTCTTAGGCCAATTTTTGATAGATTTTTTTCATATTTATTTTGTTGTTGATTTTGACAGTTTTGTTGTTTTGTCTTCAACATTCCAATCATGTTATCAAAATAATTATTATTATTTTTCATGCAGAAAAAATGGATCACATTCTAGATTTTGAGTTACAAATTGGAATATAGTGATCCTTATTGAGGGATTGACACACCAAACTTGGATATTCGATATCTAAATCAACAAGGTTTATGATAATAGACGATTCGGTGCTTGTATTTTTGTACTAAAGGAGATGTTTTGGAGAGAAAAAGAGAGTGCAAATTATTAAGATTAATTACTATTCAGTACATCAAGCATGTTTGGTGAAGTTGGTGGGAAACTCAGCTTATGATTTGAAAATCATAATTCAGAAGTTCGAACCCTGTCAATTAAAAATGCTTGGAAGTAGAAGAATTCTCTTATCTTCCCCCTCTACACTTAAGCATTGACCTGCAGAATTCTCTTATCTTCCCCCTCTACACTTAAGAGGAATAGATTATCTACACTTGATTTATTACAAGTTAATATTTTTTGTTGAAAAGAATCTAACTGCATACAAATTAAGCCATGCAAAACCATTTAGTAATAACAATATCCGAATATACGTGAGCTTTATCTTAATAAATCATGTACGGATTGCATCTAATTCAGTTACGTTTGGGCTTAGCCGGGCCGTTAACTAGCTAGAGTAACGTACTCTCACTTCTCAATTACTCTTAATAGTAGCATATAGTTTAAGCACCACATTGTAATGTACCTTTGTTACTTTATGATCTCTTTCCCACTTTAGATAAAGCCTAAACTTTAAGATTGCATAGTATGCACAACTGCACATGCATAGAAGGTTCAAGAAGGTTGTGATCCATATAAAGATTAATGCCATTTTGCTCGTGCATTCAACAATATTACTAAAATAATTGCCTATCAAAAGAACTTTTTTCTTTAAACTAGGGTTGCACACGCGCGCGTTGCACGCGAAGCAATGTAGTGATGCTAGTGAGCGAGGCCGAAAGTGGGACTTTTTTTGGCTAGTATGTTTGCTTTCTTAATAGACATTAAAATAAACGTAAATTAATTAGTAAACATAAATGTCGATAAATAGAATTGTGCCGATGGAACAAAATTGTTTAATTATTTAAGGAATTGGATTTGAGATTTTATTTAGACTATGTTATGGGGTGTTTTATTGTTTAAATCTCATATTAGTTTGTTTGTAACAATTTTTATACACAATAATACAAGTTAATAGAACTACAAACAATAGCGAATTAACATGTAAGTGATTACCCAACAAAAAAAAATTAAACTCAAAATAAGGCTAGGAATGTTCCTAGTCAATATCGCACATATTTTAAAATATTAAAGCTACATTTTTTTTGAAGCAAGATTAGCAGGCTATTTATTAAATATCGCTCTCCGCCAAGTAATTAAGCTTTGGAGAAAGGAGTTCATACAAACTAACTCCGCACTACTACGGGTCTCCCACCTCGCAACGAGATGAGCCACCACATTGCCTACTCTCTTGACATGTGAAAAGTAACAAAAATCAAACCATTTAGACATAGCTCTAATATCATCATAAATTAGCCATAGAGGAGAGAAACCCAAGCTGTTGTTCCTGCTACCCCATCTACTAGCTTGTTGTAAACCGAATCTAACAGGAGCAGATTCAGCACTTTCCACATCCATTCTCCTTCCAGCCATCTGACAGTAGCCCACACCAAACCACCATTTTCATTTCGAGCCACAGCCCCAACCGAAGCAAACGACCCAGTAATATGGGCATCAATATTGAACTTGGTAACCCCAGCAGGAGGCTTCGTCCAAGAGCTGACCATAGGGGCAGCAGGGGCACCATGCTTCACAAAGACTCGCTTAGCGTAGGAGCAATAATTAGACATAAGTTTAGCAAAACTCGCTGCTGTGTATACAACATTTAGGGACTGTTGCTCATGAAAAAAATTTGTTCCTGCAATACCAACTAGACCAGGCCAGAGCAAGCAATATACGCAATTCCTGTTTCTCTAATTTGCTGTTAAACCACAACAAATCATCCATAAAAGAACCTACAGGAGCTTCATCAATCAGAGCTTGAAAGATACTACTCGCACATACCACTTTAGCCTTTGTGCATTCGAAAAGGACATGATTCACGGACTCCCCCACCAGGCTGCAGCACAAATGATCAGTAGCAATGTGACGCCGAAAGAGCTCTTCCCTAACAGCCATACTCCCTTAAATTAAAAGCTACTTGATAAAGAGAATTTATTATCCCTTGCTTTTCTTCTCCTCATATCTACAACCTCTAAAATAAACAATAAAGATCACTAAAAAGGAGTTTTTAAAAAAATAATGTAGAAAGGAGCAAACATATTTAAACAAATACAATAATTGGATAACCCAACATGCTAATCCCCAAACTGAACATATGAGTTTCTAATTAATAAGCAAATCAATTTAACAGCCTGAAACAATCAAAATGATGTGTTAAGATACTTAAGACCATGAATCATACTTGGGATTGTTCATGTTTGCTTTTATCCGTTATCAAGGGTAATCCTTGGATAGTACAAAGAATGTTTTCTCCCAAATAATTAAAAATGCATACAAATTAAACCAGTAGAAGAGTGAGAAACTTGAAGAGCAACAACAAGATCTCCAAGTTGAGCAACACCTGAACAACAAGATAATAATGACTTCAAGAAATGCACAAATATACATCTAAATTAAAAATGGCATGTTAGGATCTAGAATAGGAATATGATGACGGTTAGTCTCTTATATTGTTTCCCAAAAATACACAATAACAATTCCTTAGTAGTGTGTTCTTATTTCTTTGGCTGGCACTTCATTACTTAATAAATGCAATCAGGCTCAACTCCAAGATTGTAACTCTGTAAGTGATGAGAAAAGAAAAACAAACTCCCTAACCACCAAACCAAAATACCATATCACAATAATACATAATTCATTTATTTATTAGAAGAAAATATGGTACCCTGTTCACAAAATGCTTAATTTAGTAATGTATAATAGCATTTGGTTATAAATCCTTGTTTAGATGACAAATAATTAAGAGTTATACATAAATAAATGATTTTAGTGCTTTATTATGAAATGAAATAGAATTATAAAGTCGTAGGAAAGAGTAAAGGTTTAAGAGTTAAGACTAATTAAATCTACAAAATTGATATTTGATAATTTAAAGAATAAAAAGAAAAATTTACCTCAAATACTACTTCAATGGAGGAGAGAACAAGGAACTCAAGAACAGCAGCTAAGTAAACAAGGGGCACCAGGTTCAACAAGATGAGCTAACCTTCCTTTCTTTAAATTTAATTCCATTATTATTTCATTATTTGTTCGTTGGATTTCATTATTGGCTTAAATTTCTAGATTTTCTATTCCATCTGCCAAACAAAAACTAATCCAAATTAACTCCAGCACCATGTACATTCTCTCTATAAATCACGAAACCATCCATGAATCTTACAGCCATTTCCTACAAACCCCAAGATTCCCTTCCCAAATCCAAAATGACATTGAATAACACAAGCTCAAATGCTCAACCAACCAAAATAATAGCAAATTTCAACATTGAAATTCAAATTCTACTCACATCAAAATCAATACAATCGATTCCTATATTCAAATTTGACCCACATTTTGTAAGATCCCTAAACACAAATCCATACTTTTCAAAAACAAAATTAATTCAAATTGCAACAAATTAAATGACCTACTAAGAATAATATCAATAAATTGAGAGAGATACAAAAGAGTTACGAATTCTCGGATGATTCCCTAATAGACCAAGATAGGTTATAGCATGAGCTTAACAAAATTTGGATTTTACACAGGCATTTGTCAATTATACAATAGTTGTTCTAACAATATATAGGTATTTGGTATGTTACCATGAGAGCAAGCTTCTTCAGTTTGTTCATAGCTCTAAACTGCTTCATTCTCATAAGAATAGCGCTGTCAATAGGTTTCTCAGAACTATCAGATCATTGTCTTCTTTAAACTTTGGATGTTCTGATTCATAGGTAATATGTAAATTGTGGGCATTCAAAAGCAGTTTTCATGTCAAAATTCCCTATCATCAAATCTTAGTCGAGCAAAAAATTACATACCAAGTGCCTCTACAACACTTATACGTGCCTTTGATCTAAGCGACTAAGCATCTAGAAATTCAGAATATTTATGTCTTCCATTCTTAACTAATCTCTCTAATTGAGCCTTTGTACAAGTAAAAGTTTTCCTTTATATGCATGACATGTAAGAACTAAGAACTGAGCAGTCAATTGATTCCATAATTACAATGCATGTTTGGACACCCAGGGAAGAATCAATCATGTATCTGTCTAAATGAGTAAATAAAAGTATAAAACATAAAAAAAACAACCAATATAAACTTCGCCTGAAACCTAAAACCCGCCTTCTTGCAGGATCTAGTAATCATGGTGGAGAAAGTTCGAAGCCTTCTTAATGATGTGAAGAGCGGGGTGATGGAGGAACACCTCATGCTCTGAAGAGTGGAACTCCTGGTAATGGCAGTAAAAGTTTGTGACAACATTATGTGCTCCAATTGCCTTAATATCATCTTCCCTAATCCCAACCTGGATTTATATAATGATCTAAGAATGAAGGCAAAATCTCACAAATGATCAAGATCTTTGATATAAGGTACTTGAGAAAGGCTTATATATAATCAAAAGTCGGTCAAGAGATATTTCAGCAAAAATTGCTTTTTCTAGGATAGACATGGGAAAATTTGGAGTCAAGGAGTATTGCCATGAGTTATAACCTAATGAATTCTACACGGGCTAGTTAGATTTCGGGGAGTTATCCAAAAAATAATGGGAACAAGTTCTCTAGTCTAACCCCAAAAACTTTACGAAACTACACCAATGTATAACGAAGAGTCGAACACCTTTTGTTTCATCCAGCAAAGATCGGAAGAATCAACAGCACTCATGTAGTGCTCTAGCTTCTGAAGTCAAATAGTCAACAAAAGCTATATAAGGTAAAATAGTCAACAAAACCTCATAGTCAACCTTTTTTACAGCAACACTCACACTCTATTTTCTTATAAGATAAAAAGAATTCCCAATTATTGCTCAAATCCCAGCAAAGAAACTACAGACACTTCACAAATAAAAAACAATGATTACCAAGTGTATCTCCTATATAAGGTATGGGTCATAGAATGTGCACATCCTTACAACAAAAGTTGTTCCTAAAAAGAAAACAGAAAATCTTCAATTACAGTCTGTGTAATGACCCCCAAACACTTCCCACCCACAGATAGTCATAAAATATCAGTATCTTAGCTCATAAACATTCAAATCAAACCAATTAACTCTTGGCATTCCTAGCAAAACTCTACATTTGGCTCCACTTTCAGTCCTGTTCCCGAGACCCAGACCAAGGCAATAGCATCATCTCATTTCACAGGTAAATTAGCATGTTCCTCTTCTGATTCATCAAGCAGATGTGCTTGTTACTCTAGCTATCTGAGTACACAACTTTTGATTAAAAACCCTAGTGCGACTGATCAAATGTGACACCACAACCTTTAATACTAACCCTTTCATATCACACTACCAAACCCTCAAAATATCATCATAACGCATTTGGGTACAACTCTGCTTTTACAACAATCTTTGATACTATTAACAATGATTTTCCTCTGCAAACACTTGAATGCTTTGCGAAATAAAAAAATTATGGGCCTTTTAATGAAGAACCCATTTGTTGAATATAAAATTGTAACTTGATAGACCTGCAAGGGCTGCAACTTCAATAATGTTGTCTGTGATTCATAACCTTGTGTTCAAATAATTATAGGTCAACTACTCTTGCACACACGGCCGTCTAATTATAAAAAATGGGGCCTTGAAAATTCAACGAAGAGTTGATAAGTTATCATCCAAATATCCAATGTTTGAATAATCAAGAAAGTGTTTATAGCTCTCCCTATCTTCAGTTACACTAAAAAATCGGATAATATATACTTGTACATAACTTCGATAATGATCAATCGACTCAAACATAAAATTGGACATCAATCAATTATATCAACAATTAACCATAAACATATTCATCCGACAATGGAATAAATCAACTCCATGACCAAATAACAAAATCAGCTGAACAACACAGCTAATTACCAATAATCAAAACCAAATGATGACAAAAATGCAAGCCCTAATTCCTAAACATAATCAAAGTTCAAAACCATTATGTCAACAATTAACCATTAACACAAACTTCACACAATTGAAGCAAACCACTCAATGATCAAATAAACAAATCAACTGAACAACACAACTAATTACCAATATTAAAAACCAAATAATGAGAAAAATGCAAGCCCTAATCCCTAAACATATTCAAAGTTCAAACCCATTATTTTGATCAACCTAACAATTGCACCAATTAATCCAGTAATAAAACAACTAATGCGCCAATATATAAACAATTTAAAGTAAACCCCATCAATTATAAACTTATTCAATGCACCCCCATTAATAATTAGACAAATATCATAAACTTAAAAGATATTTTGGGAAGAAAATTAATAAAATAAAACAAAAGAAAAGCAAGAGAGAGTAAAGTACTAACAGAGATATAGTGTTGTCTTAATTGGGAGTTGTTGAATTGACTACCTTATATTTTGATGATTGACTTACGTAAAACAAACTCCGACTAATGATGTTTAAAAGAGTCTTGGTTAAGCAGAAGATTCAGGTTTGAAGTAATATGTTCCGGAGTAGGAACAACAAAGTTTGGAAGACTTGATGATGAATGCAAGCTTTCAAGATGTCCTCATATCTCTATATACTTAGTTACTCAGTGTATGAACTTAAGAAACAAAAGTGTTGGAAGGAACTAAGAAGAAACATGAAGTTCCTGAAGGAACCTGAAGTTCCCGAAGGAACTTGACGATTGACGGATGACTCAGAAAAGTTTTTAACAGTTTTCAAAATCCTTAATTTAAGGAAGAGATAAAATCAGTTTGAAAATATTGGGATAAAATCAGTTGAAAAGATTTATTTTATAAATAAATAAAATCTAAATAATTCTTTAATTTAAAAGATAAATTTATTTTAAATTAATTAATTGTTTAAATATCTTTTTAATAAATAAATATTTATCTTTTTAATAAATGTTCTTTTAAACTGATTTTTGACTTGGTTAAAAACAGGATGCACGTTGGATTTGGGAGTCAAGTTAGTGAAATCATGGTTCTCAACTTCCTCCACTTACATCCCAACTTCCCAGTATAGGTGAACGTGGGATTGAGGGGGAAGTAGGAACATGATGGAAGCTTGGATAATCTCCCTATAAAAACAGATCAACGTTAAGTTTTGAAAGGGTGGAAAAACAATCTTAAGTATTCTGAGCATAGAGTTTCAAAGTGTTTAAAAGAGAAGTTCCTTCCATCCTTAGTCTCTTAAGTTCTTTAGAAAATACTTGTAATCATTGTGTAATTGGGTTTGGGTTGTGAGAGTTGTAAAGTGTGAGATTTGAGAGAGTTGTTTACACTGTACAAGTGATTCGGAGTAGAATCACAAAGTGTGAGAAACTGTGATTGAGGGATCACAGTTGGGTAACTTGAGTTCCTCACGGAACTTGAGTCTAGGCAACGTATTAGTGATTGTAAATCATTTTTACATAGTGAATTTATTCATTGCCTATCTCAGTGTCTTTTCTCTTAGTAGTAGATTTAATTCCGCAAAATTTACCATAGTCTACATACACTACAATTCACCCCCCCCCCTCTTGTAGTATACATTGTTCTATCAATTGGTATCAGAGCAAGGAACTCGGAAAAGCAGGAAGCCCTGTCGAGTCAAGTTCCTGGAGGAACAATGTCAAAGGACGAGAGACTAGCTGAAGGTTACTCTACACAAAGACCACCACTCTTCAATGGGAAGTACTATGCCTATTGGAAGACAAGGATGGAGATGTTCATACAGTCCGAGAATTATCAAGTCTGGCGAGCTATCGAAGTAGGAGATTACGAGGTAACCAAGACCAATGCAGAAAATGAGGTAATTCCTAAACCTATCTCTGAATATGATAGAAATGACTTTGAGAAGAAAGAGATTAATGCTACTGCTAAAAAACTCCTAGTTTGGGGTTTAGGGCCAGATGAACACACTCGTGTTATGGGATGTAAAACAGCAAAAGAAATATGGGATTTACTAGAAATAACCCACGAAGGAACTCATGAAGTCAAACGTTCTAAAATTGATATACTGCTTTCTAAATATGAACGTTTTGAAATGGGTTCAAAAGAAACTATTCAAGAAATGTTTACTCGTTTTAAAAATATTACTAATGAATTAGTTTCTCTTGGTAGAGTTGTTCCTATGGATGAACAGGTACGCAAAATTCTAAGAAGCCTTCCTGAAGATGAACGGTGGAGAGCCAAAGTGGCTGCTTTGCAGGAATCAAAGGACTTTACAACCTTTAACCTTGAACAACTTGCAGGTTCCTTGATAACTCATGAGCTTCACCTATCAAACAAAAGTCAAGAAAGCTCAAAAAGCCGAGGAATCGCTTTAAAAGTTGCCTAACCAAGTGATGAGGATTCCGAATCTTGAGAGGAAGAAGCTGCCATGCTAGTCAGGAAGTTAAAAAGGTTGTACCGCAACAAAAGGTTTGGTGACCAAAAGAAAAGGAACTTCAAGAAGAACCAATACTCCAAGGAAACAGGAGGTTGCCACAAATGTGGGAACACAGATCACTTCATCAAGGAATGCCCTCTCTGGGAATCAGAAAAAGGAAAAGGCAAAATGAAGGAACACGGAAAATCTAATACTCCTAACTTTTCAAAATCTGATTACAGGAAAGCCATGATAGCTGCGTGGGGAGACACAAGTTCTGAGGATGAAGAAGAATCCACGGAAGAAGAAACTGCAAACCTGTGTTTGATGGCTAAACACAGTGAAAGGTCAAAGGAGGTAAATCTCGAACCTAAATTTCTGAAATCCCTGTCAAAAGACAAATTAATTTCTTTGCTCATAGAAACATTGGATGAATATAAAGAAATATGTCTTAAACTTGGACAAAATGAAAAAGCTCTAGAAATCTATAAGGATCATATGAAATATTTGAATAGTTCAAGAACAGATGTTCAGGGAAGATTCTTTGATTTGCTAGATAGAAATACTATGCTTAAAGAAACACTGGAAAGAGTCAAAAATGAAAATATCATGTTAAATGTTGAATTGACTCAGTATAAATTGCTATGCACTAACATTGATTCTAATAATGCTCTTCAATTGCCTTTAGTAACCTTTAATGATGATCTTGAAAATTTGAAAAAAGAATTGCAGGTTACTAAAGACAAAAATGAGTTCCTTGAAAAGGATCTAGAAAGAGCAAGAAACAATGAGAGTGTAATCCACATGGGAGTTCCAAAGTGGATACTTGAAGCTCAAACCAGAAGGACAGAAGGTTTGGGTTTCAACCACAAAAAGAAGAGTAGTAGTAAAAAGAAAAACTATGTGGAACTTCCTAGTGAGACTGTGTGTTCCTTCTGTGGCAAGTCAGGACACAAAGATACTGAATGCAAAAGAAAGGAACTTAAGTCCACTAAAAATATAGTTTATGTATGGCAAAAGAAAAATGAGTCTGCTGTATCAACGAAGGAACCCATGAAAGATGGGGTTCCTGAATCTAACCCTTAGTTTCTTTTGCAGGTCGTAGTGAGGGGGAACAACCAATGGTACCTCGATAGTGGTTGTTCCAAGCACATGACAGGAGATGAATCAAGATTTCTCTCACTGACGGCCTATACAGGAGGAACTGTGACCTTTGGTGATAATAAGAAAGGCAGCATTGTTGCCGTAGGAAAAGTTGGAAGGTCAAGTTCCCAAGCTATTGATAACGTTTTTTTAGTCGAGGGCCTCAAACACAGCTTATTAAGCATATCACAATTTTGTGATAAAGGAAACTCAGTAAGTTTTGATTCTGAAAAATGTAGCATCATTCAGAATGACACTGGGAAAGTTTTGCTGGAAGGAACTCGGAAAGGGAACACTTATACAGTGGATCTCAATCAGTTCCGAGGAACAACTTAACTTGCCTTAGTGTCATTGAGGATGATCCTTTACTGTGGCATAAACGTTTTGGTCATGCAAGTTTCTCTTTGATTGATAAATTAAGAACAAGGAACTTGGTAGAGGGACTTCCTTCAATCAAGTTCCTATGTGACAAAATTTGTGATGCTTGTGTGAAAGGAAAACAGATCAGATCATCCTTTAAATCCAAGAAAATGGTGAGTTCCACGAAACCTTTAGAGTTAATTCATATGGATTTGTGTGGTCCTATGAGGATTCAAAGTAGAAGTGGAAAGAAGTATGTCTTAGTAATTGTTGATGATTATTCTAGATTCACATGGGTAATTTTTATGTCTAGCAAAGATGAGACTTTTGATGAGTTTGTCACATTTTTCAGGAGAATTCAAAAGTCCACCGGACATCAACTGATACACCTTAGATCTGATCATGGCACTGAATTTGAGAATTTTAAATTTGATGATTTATGCAGGGAACAAGGCTTAAGTCATAATTTCTCAGCTCCAAGAACTCCACAGCAAAATGGAGTTGTGGAAAGGAAGAACAGAACCTTAGAAGACATGGCTCGAACCATGTTAATAGCCAGCGATCTTCCAAGGAACTTCTGGGCAGAAGCCGTGAATACAGCCTGTTATATTATAAATCGTGTCATGCTAAGGCCTATATTAAATAAGACACCCTATGAACTTATGAAAGGCAGAAAACTGAATATATCTCATCTGAGAGCATTTGGTTGTAAATGTTTTGTGCATAATAATGGTAAAAGGAACATAGGGAAATTCGATGAAAGAAGTGATGAAGCCGTATTTCTCGGATATGCTACTAACAGTAAAGCGTATAGAGTTTACAATAAACGCACTATGTGTGTTGAGGAAAGTGTGCATGTTATATTTGATGAAACTAATCCACTTCCATGTACACAGGAACATGAGGACTATGACTTTGAAATTGGTCTAGTACGTCCTCAAGAACAAGAAGAAGATGCAGTAATTCCAAATAAGCAGCCAACTCGATTAAATGAAAATCATGAAAATCCAGAGAAGGAACTCGACATACAGACTGAAGTTCCTTCGAGAGAACAGCCTCAGAATGAAGAACCTGCCGAGGAACCAATAACACAAGAGGAAATCACTGAAGAAGAAGCAACAGGCTCAGGAAATCAGAATAGTCGAGTTCCTATCCAAACCTTCCAGCCCAAACCTTGGAAGCACCAAAAGTCACACCCACTGGACAAAATTATCAGTGACTTATGCAAAGGAACTCAGACTAGATCGCAAATGAGGAACTTCTGTGCCTTCAATGCTTTTCTATCTACTTTGGAACCTCGCAACCACAAAGAAGCCTTAGAAGACCCTGACTGGATTATAGCCATGCAAGAGGAACTCAATGAATTCGAAAGAAATCAGGTATGGCATCTTGAACCTAAGCCACTAGATAAAAAGGTCATAGGCTTAAAATGGGTCTTTCGAAACAAACTTGATGAATATGGTACAATTGTACGAAATAAGGCTAGGTTGGTTGTAAAGG